CGAGTAAAGAATATGATGATACTGATCATTCGTATTGATTTCAAAGTGGCTTTTCATTTCCTTCATACTTCAAGAATTTTTTTCATTTCGGGGGTGTGTTCAACATCCTTGGACGGGGCCGAAGAGATTTATTTTCATTCATACCGAGTGAAGAATATAATGATACAAATCATTCGTATTGATTTCGAAGTGGCTTTTCATTTCCTTCATACTTCAAGAATTTTTTTCATTTCGGGGGTATGTTTAACCCTCTTGAACGAGGCCGAAGAGATTTTCATTTATACCGAGTAAAGAATATAATGATACTAATCATACGTATTGATTTCAAAGTGGCTTTTCGTGTCCTTCATACTTCAAGATTTTTTTTTCATTTCGGGGGTGTGTTTAACCTCTTGGACGGGGCCGAAGAGATTTTCATTCATACCTAGTAAATAATATAATCATACAAATCATTCGTATTGACTTCAAAGTGGCTTTTTGTTTCCTTCATACTTCAAGATTTTTTTCATTTCGGGGGTGTGTTTAACCCTCTTGGATGGGGCTGAAGAGATTTGCCTTTATACCGAATATAGAATATAATGATAAAAGTCATTCGTATCGGTTTCAAAGTGGCTTTTCGTTTCCTTCATACTTTAAGAATTTTTTTCATTTCGGGGGTGTGTTTAACCCTCTTGGACGGGGCCGAAGAGATTTGCCTTGATACAGAATATACAGTATAGCTATATGGTTTCACGTAAAGGCACATCAGGAATCCAAAAAACATTATCACGATTTCGGTACGCTACTGACCATTCGGGTATTTTCGGAAAAAGAGCTGCTGACTTTGGCTGCTAACTTCACACCGGTTTTCGTCTTCTACTTGCATTTGCAACATTTCCCCACCAGAGGATTCCAAAAACGCTACCAGTGAAGGAAAGTGATTTTTTTTTATTTTACGATTAGTCCAGAGTGCAAGCTTTTTTATCATAGTTTATATTTCATCTTCAACTTGGAAGATGTTACACATCTTCCTCGTAGACTTAAGGTCGGCTCGTTAAGAGCATTGAAGATATTAGCCAAATACATCACCATTGTGAGCCATTAAAAATTATTGTTATTTAGTGATCGAAGTGATCAGCATGTTTATTGGCGCAGCCTACAGAATCCTTCAAACAAAATATTCTGATCTCATCTCTAAGCTCAGAGGACTCCCATATACATACTCACAGACCCCCAGGGGTCCGCGGACAACAGGATAAGAAACATTGATCTACAGTAATCCAGGACGAGGATTTGAGGACCCTGGTGGAGACTGACGTGCGTGGGATGCATGCGATTTTTGATGGTTTAAAACTTATTGGAAAGGTCAAAGAGCTCGAAAAGTGGGTGCCCTACAATTTGAACGATCGACAAAAATCGTTAGGTACGTTTCGGGATCTGTTCTTTGCTTTTGCGCAACCGAAATGATCTTTTTTGAATTGGATCGTCACGTGTGATGAAAAGTGGACCCTCAACGACAACAGGAAACCTTCAGGTCAGTGGTTGGACAGCGATGAGCCACCCAGGCCCTCGCTGCGAAAACCCACCAAAAAAAAAGACCATGGTTACTGTATGATAGTCAGCGGCTGGTGTTATTCACTATAACTTTTTGCAACTGTCCCAAACCATCACACCAGTCCTATTGTAAGGAAATCGGCAAAATGTACCGCATTTGCAGCAACCGCCACTGGACAACAAAAGAGGTCCAATCCTGCTCCACGGCAACGCCCGTCTGCACGTTTCACAAAAAATATCCGAAAATTAAACGAATTGAGCGTCGAAGTTCTACCTCCACCCCTATACTCAACAGACTTCTCACCAACCAACTACCATCTTTCCAAGCATTTTGATAACTTTCTCACCAGTCGAAACTTCGCCAATAAGGATCAGGCAAAAAGGGCCTTCGTCGACTTCATCGAATCCCGAGCACACCATTTTTTATGCTGATGGAATAAATCAACTTGTGTTATGTTGGCAAAAGTGCATTGATTCAAATGACGCTTATTACAATCGAATTGAATGAGTATTCATCGAGATACTACAGTTTGAAGTAAAAACGGACACAACTCTTGAAACGACTACTGAATGTTTATTCTTGTACTTTATTGTGTCTGACTTGCTATTATTTGGTTGATATCGATTGTATATGTATGTGTGTGTATGTATATACATATTGTTTTTTCTATATAACCTATGTTTTGCCAATCAATAAGATATATTTTTTCAGGCAATGAAGTGCAGTAATTGATTACCTCCCAAAAGTGATCATTTTATTTTTTGACAGTCATATCTCAATAAATATTGCATTATTATAAAAATAATTTATTGGTGTAAAAACAAAAAAAAAATAAAAATTATAAAGGCTAATAATTTTGAGAATTTATTCAAATTTTCAAGTATCCACAAGTACAAACAATACCATATATTGAACAAAAAATTGAGATCATACTGGACAAGTTCATTCACCTAGCTTGAATTGATTGATTCTTCAATTTCCACTGTAAAGACTATGACACATCTACAGGAAAACAAATTAATCTTGTAGATGGAGCAAAAGTAATCTCGGTTAAGAATTTTCTCAAAGTATTTTAGAATTGATACAAAACACTGGGGCCTGAAAAAACCAGATTCTGGCTTAGATATAAATGGGCAATGATAAGTTCAGAAATAAATTCACATTTTTCCGCTTGTGAAAACTGAGTAGAACATGTTAAATAAACATAATTCCTACCATAGTCTGTAACATGTAGGAACTTTTTATCAATAGATATAATTGAAATGCTACTTTAGTTACTTTTTGCTTGAAAAATTACTAGATAACCCTTTTAATAGTGTCTTTTTAAAGAAAAAAAAATCAGATTTTTTTCGAATATTTTAAAATCTTTCAGAAAAATGTTGTTCAGTTTTCAATTTAACACCAATCCACTAAATTTCAGCCCTCTACTGTCACTTCAAACTTTTTTTAATTTTTTGGTAACTTTGCCCTACCTATTTGAGTGAAACATGATTTGAACTTTTTTATTTCTGATAAATGCGAGAGTCTAGTATTCATTATAAATGTAAAGTTTTAATCAACTTTCATTCAAATCAGCAGAGTGAAAATAACTCAAACTGAATATCTTTTTCTCGGGGCATTTTTAGAAATTTAGAGGCAACATGATTTCTGAAAATTTCTGTTGAAAATGTCAAATCAAAGTCCAGAATTGCACGTAACAATGAAAATGGAGTTCTTATTCAGTTACTTTTTGAAAAAAAAAAACCTACTTTAGCAGTGTCCCTGTATAAAAGATTCATATGAATTGATGTGATTTTCATCACATCCCCTCCTAACAATCTCTTTTCTCTAAAACATATCAATGACATATTGATATCAGTTCAAAAATTAAAAGACTACCAAACATTTACCAGTAAATTAATTAAGTTTATGCTAATATGACAGAAAAAGTTGAAAAAATACCTTTGAGAAAGTTTCATTTATAAATATACAACAGTCAGAGGTCTAAACTCTGTGCAATGTTTCAACAAATATGTACATATATATTACAAGTACTTGCTTGGTATATTTATAATGAGTAAAATTCGTTAACTCAGTCCATTCAACTCCTTTTCATAGGTTTCAAACCAATAAATAAAATTTGCTGCAAAAAATGTGCAAAAGGACTTGAATGTCTTCTTATACGAACAAATTTTGGTTAAATCAATAAGCAGTTGTACTGGAACGCTCTTCTTTTGAATGGTGATCTCAAAATCTAATATTTTTTCAGTAGGAGCCAAATCTTTATACAACATCAATAACTGCTTGGTAACTTCTTTTTCTTTATTGACTATTCCAACGATGTCTTTGGTGTTAAGATTCTTCAAAGTTGATTTACGTAACTGCCATAAATCCAACTTTGCAGAGCACCTATAAGAGAACACTGGTATTTTTTCTTTATCATGAACATCAGTTTGGCCCTCAGATCTTTTTGCTTTAATATCCGTATCCTCTTTGGTAGTTTCCTTCACGTCAAAATTCAAGAATTCCTTCAGAACAGTCACCAAAAATTTATTGGCTGATTCGAACCATTCCTCTTCAATCACCTGTCTTCTGTTGGATACGTTGTCATCGATATTTTTGGATAAATACTTCACATTGATGCCCATCGGCACAGTGAACTGGCTAAAGTTGCATTTCAATAACTGTTCACTCTTAATATTCGGTGGTTTTTCCGTCAAAAGTTTATATAATAAGCCTACGGGACCATCTTTACATATTTGCTTTCCCTGGCGACATAAATTAAGGAATATGTTCAAAGTAGACTCCGATACTGCAGGGGTTGCATTTCGAGAATGCTCAAATGGATCCTGTATGCAAATCGAAACTTCCACTTTCAAAGCGACATTTCCCTCAACTTTAATAAAGTCCTTATAGGTGTTATAGTGTTCCGGAAGTTGCTCTGGGGTTTTAAAAGCCTCCTTTTTCATTTTTACTCCTAAGTAAGGGCAAATTATAAATGTACTATAGTCAAAATTTGAATAAAATTCGAAAAAGTCAGCTAACAGCTCAGCTAGAGATATATTTCGTAAAGTGTAATTATTGTATTCCTTTTGTTTAAAACCGCCGTTCCAACCATCCTGGTAACTGGCAAATTTTTCATCCTCCTGAAGCAAACGAACAGACGGAACCTCGTGAGGCTTTTGTTGTAAAAAAAATATCATCATGAGGCTCAATGAATAATTGGTGAACAAATGATTTTGTCCTGTTATCTTATGGATCTTCGCCCAATACTTTATTATCACCATCGCCTCTCTAATTTTGAAATCCAATTTCAAATAGTAATTGATCAGTTCACTATTGCACACTCCTAACTTATTCTTGATGTTAATGTCACAATTAATATTGGATTCTATATGGATGCACTTCAAAATAGGAATTTTTGCATGAGCTATGACAATACAATTGGTGAACCTTTGAGAGTGCATCAAAATATGTTTGATTTTATAAAGGAACGGTACATTGTTTTCCCTGTTCCTCACACCTTTTATATAGAGGTCAATATCACTATTTTTGAAGTCAAGACCTGTTATCGTGGATCCAAATGGAAAAATTTGCACCCTCGGAAAAGTATATTGTAGGGAATTTTGCAAATCATCACACACTCTCATATACACTGGATATTTTCTATTATTCCCTACCTCCAAATACTCTGCTAGAGAAGTAACTTGTTCAGAGAGCGTTTTCATGTTCTTTAGTTGTTTATGGAAATCATCATGATCTTCTATCTGCGAATATTTATTGAAAGGTTCTGCAAAGAAAAGCACCCAATTAGTTTACTGAACCACCCAATGTTTTTTCAAGAATTCATTGAATCACACGTTAAAAGGTAAGACCTAGTTAGTTGTTAGCTCGCACAAGTTTCAACTTTTGAGAGTTGTCGCTCATAGGGGTGTGACAGCTTTCCGTTTCATTTATACAACCAATCAAAATTTGTTTATACTGTCTCAAGAATATCTCACTGTCTAAAATTAATTTTTGGGGAGAATTGAGTTTTATCGAACAAATTGGTAACAATGGTTACAAGGTAGATATTATTGGATCCATTCTTTCAAAAAACTAAGAAAACAAGTCATTTACCAGATCTATCTCACTTCAAGAAACGATAATCAACGTCACAGGACATTAACATACTTTGGTGAACCCACCAATTTCATTTGAAAATAGTATTTTGAAAAAGAAAGAATTGGACGTAGCTTGTAGAACAAATAATAGTTTAAGTAAATTTATTAAAAACAATAAAGCAAAACTTTCAGGATTGGATAAACCAGGAGCATAAAAATTGACTTGTGATTCTTGCATAAAACTTAATATTGGCCAAACCAGCAAAATATTTTCCTAAAAAACAAAAGAACATATCGAGTGATTTCTTGAATTTGAAGACTAATTCCACATTTGCAAAAAAGCATGACTGCAATCATGCTTATAATTTATTACATTTGACATTTGGAAGACATTCAAAATTCTTGATTTCCAGAAGGTTTGAAACTTGACCTTCTGGAAAGTATAGAAACCAATCAGTACAAAACCACTATCTAATGAATTGAATTGAATAGCTCCCTGTATGTTATTACCAGATAATCATGCTTTGTTGCCCTATGTAATATTTATTGATCAATTGACTTGTTTTTCACCTTTTTTTTACCTAAAATCAACTGCTGTTACTAGTTAATGATGAAATGATAGTATCTGCTATTTTTAGGTAGTTAGAACTAGATTAGAATTAATTATCTGATCAGACCATAGACATGTTTTCAATCTAAAAGTGGTAAATCCAACCCTGCTTGAGAAAGTGATTGTATAGCAAAACACGTATCGCGGTTTTGTGAACCTTTGTTATTGGCTAAAATTTTCGTTTATATCTTGTAACTTACGTTGCGTTCTCAATTCTCTATACTGGACAGTAAGTTTTCTGCCGCCAAGATAATGATTTCCTCTCAGAACTGTCAGAGCATCAGAAGGTTCTGCATAGTCAACAAGCAAGAAAGAATTTCCAAAATATGTAAAAACCACTTTACCATAACTGAAAAAGTACTTTAGAATTATTTCCTGGCAAATATATGGTGGATATCCTGAAACAATGTAAATTGGTTATTATTTTATCACAACTTTATTAATCATTTTTTCAAGTTGTTGAGACCTTTTTTCGTTAACTGTTGAAAAACTGTTAGAAATTTCTTGACAGTTAATGTTGAGAAATTGGTAGAATTGTGAAAAAAGATTGAGTACTTCATCAACTTCAATATTCTATGTGCAGGTAATAATATTTTTTTACTGAAACGTACATTTTGAACAAGTGTACGAATTTTAATCATCAAGGGTTCTTTTCATTGCTCAACACATTTGAGTTTTGAAATTAAAAAAAAAATGACATCAACCCTAGAAATACCTTTCAAATGAATTATTACACAACCTCCAATTCTATAATAGTATATTATGCAACGATCATGTAATGATGGTTATTAAGACACGAGCATTAACCGGGATACGAAACGAGCCGAAGGCGAGTTTTGTATGGTATATGCGAGTGTATTAATAACCATTACATGAGAGTTGCATACGCTATTTTTTCTAACCCCGATAAATAATGAAAAACTATAAATATTATATTTGTATTGAACACATTTACAGTAATTAACTCATATTTTTTTTTAAAAACACAAACTTAATGGTATTATCATGGATATATGAAAACTATAAAGATTCTGATTATATTTATATTGAATATAACAACTATAATTAATCTGATCTTTTAAAAATATTGGAGTCGATGGTATTCCTTCTATATCGCTGTTTTCAGACATTTTGATAATATAGGTAGGTAATATGAAAACTGATTTTGACAAATAAAGCAATTAGTTACTTAGGTTAGAATCTAGGACAAACAAAGGAACAGGATTCTTGATTGAAAAATTATGGGTTTCTATTGGTTGATAATCTGTATCGTTATGAAAAATCTGTATCATAATAGATATCATTATGAAACGGATTATGGTCATATATGTGTATTGTTAGAGTACGGTTGTAGAAAAAAAAAAAAATGAGAAGATAGCTGTCAATTCGAGGGGTTGAATGGTGACATTTTCAAATAATACCATTTTAGTTTAAAACATTGTTTTCCAGGAGTATTCAGTTTTCTCACTGATGTAATGACCAAGTTAAGGGAGAAGAGTTTTGGTAGAAAGCCGACAGTTACTCTTATGCAAAAATTTTCGTATTGAAAAAAAAAACATGAAAGATATCCTTTAACAATTTTTATTTCAAATGATTTATTTGATTGAAACTAAACCAGATGACAAAAAAAGTCCTGTCAGATGTTTTTATATAATGTTGAGGGTTCTTTTCTCCCCGTGACTAAAAACAATACTCTCACAAGTTTGCAATTAAATAACTCAAAACACAAAAAAATTCAAAACAACAAACATAACCTAAGTATGTTTAAAATTCAGTAATTGTTTATATTTCAGTAATTCAGATCAGCTGAATTTTTGTCATACATTTTTCGTGTACTTTTTTCTGCTATACATTTTGGATCGTGGTTTGTAAAAACCATTTCGAAATAATCAACTGCTTCACTTTAATGTTCACTAAATGATTAATATTGCTTTAACCTTATTTGATTTTCAATTCATTCATAATAGAATTTTTACATTTGACTTATATTGATTTTCAATGTAACTGAAATATCAAAAATCCAAAAAGTTCACCAGAGACCCTATTTTACCTGTCACAAAAATTCCACATTTTCTTGCAATCCTCATTTGCTCCTCCTTTCCATGGTATAATTTTAAATGTTTCTGCCCAGAGAGATGTTGCATCATAGTGGCTTCGTTATGTAAATTTATTTTACATAGATCACAATAATATTTCTTTTTTGTGGATCCTTGCATAATGTTTATAGATATCTCAACTTTTTCTGAAACAAAAAATTGATTGCAAGTCTTTAAATAAAAAAAACTTCTTAATACCTTTAGGAATTTTATATGCTATAGAGAAACTTCAATTTACAGTTATTTACCAAATTTATTAAAAAATATCACCAAACAAAAAATTGAAAAATTTGAAATTTTTGTTTAAATATATCAACCAATGTAAATATGATGTTAAAAACTTATTTTTTATAATAATCATTGATGAAAGGGATTAACTTTCATACAATGTATATTCATTTGGTATTTCTCTCTCTTTCTCTCACTCTCTCTTGCACCATTCTAGCATATTAAAGAAAATATAAGTTTAAAAAAACATGGAAGAATGAGAGGAAAACTATTTAAATCGAAAGGCGTTTATTTTTTGGAAATAAAGATTTTGGCTTCTTACTTCTCCACCTTTATACAAAAAATGTGGGAAACATAAAAGGAGGGAAGAATAAACTCCTTACAAAGATGTGTTGATCATGCATAGAAGTTACTTTCAGATACAAACTGGGAAAAAAGCCCTCTCAAAACAACTACTTTCATATAAACATTGAATTAAACAAGAGAAAAAGTACTTTTGAACCAAATACTTTTATTTGAATTTTATATTAATTGAATTATACAAAAAACCCTTTCTTCTATTCAGTTTGTACTCCAAACATTCATTATAGAATTGAATCAGATATCACTACATAAAAAAATTACACTACACCAGTTATGACTGAGTGATGGGGCATTGAAACCACAAACTTAGCAAGCCCAGAGGAAAATGTGAGTTTGATCGAAGCAAGGCAAAAATGTTGGTTATTCATGATACTGTATGGTTAATATTTCATTCACAATGTTTTATATTCATTTTGATTGTGTAACGCTATGCATTTGTTTGAGGGTGGCTAACAATGTTTCATGTTCCATTGTCTAATATGATATAAAATTATTTGGAATACCCAAAAGAATCTATAAAATTAAAATGAATAGCTGAAAATAACAATTATATTAAGCAAAAAAAAACCGAAATGAAATAACAATAAAGTGGAATACAAGCATCATTTGAAAATTGAACAATTAAAAAGAAATAAAAAATTAAAAGATATCAAGCCAAGTTACTTCACGTCGTTTCGATTTTAGTATCCACAATGGAAGTCAGAACTAATGAAACAGCACTATGCATTTGTACAAAAAAAAGTTTTCACCAAAACAATAGATGAGATGAAAATACTCTTACTTGATAATCAAGAAAAGACTTCATCTATTGAATCCAAAGAGTTAATCATTAGTCGCCCAAATAGAAAAATTAGGTTTTCTATAATGATGACTCCCTACCAGTTATGTCAGATTATAGTCAGAAACAAGGATAGAGTTATCATACAAATTACTCTCGAGCAAAGTTGGAGGTGTCAGAAATATCCATATGCTTATTACAAAGACAGAGTTATCAAATGTAATCAGTTCATTCTATCTTCAAGAAAGGTAAGAAATTTAAGTTTTTTCAAAGATAACATGCCAATCAAAACAAAAAAAAATTCAGTTGTCAAGAAAGCCACCTTGTTCTCTCCTTTTTGAAATGAATGTATTCAGTGAGATTACTTGTCGCCGTAGACATTATTGTAGTCAGTGTACATCATATGGAGATTGATTTAACACATCATTTGGTCTTTTTTAATAATTTGTGTATTAAATGTAAACTTCATATATAATACAATGCTAATAATGGTTTGTGTTTTAAAGCTTGGAAATAGTACCATTTTATAGTTTTTCAATTAAAGGTCATGTGAAATCAACATTTGTATATCCTCTTACTATGGTTAGATTATATCTGTTCAGTATCAGAGAAATTCCCTTGAAGTTCTCTTCAATTAAGTTTTATACAGTGTGTGCGATTTCAAACCGCAACACCCTGTTATTTTTGATTCCACGAACCGATTTTGAAAAATAAAAATTTCAAACAATAGTACTTGACGAGCTCTTTTCAAAGATGTTGATAGATATGGATTTTTCTCATTTTCAAGGCCTACTATGACCTGCCCAATGGGTCGAAATTTCGAGAATGGCCATTATGCATTTTTTATTGGAAAAGTTGATAGCCCATTCGTTTCGGGCATATTTCAAACCCCTATATACTAAGTTTCAGCCCAATTTCTCATACGGTGTGTTAGTTTTATGATGACAAATTCCCGTATTCATGATTTTTTGACTGACCCTGTATAACAAACTGTAAACTTCAAAAGAAAGGCGAAGTATCCATTGAAATGAGAAACACATGAAATATTCAAATACGAAGTTTTTTCATCGGTACAGATACAGATAGATGTCCCTAGTTCAACCAAAAATCAAAAGTTGAAAATGTTTTATCCATATCGTTTGATTTTTGGTATAATAAATAGTCACATTGTAAAAATACCCCTTTATATACTTTTTTTTTAATTTGTCTCAACCCGGTGACAGATTTTGGCAAAATTCTCATGATTTCATTTTATATGGCATATGCATATGATTTGACAATAAGCTTCAAAATTAAGTTGTATCTTTTTTCGTTATTATAATTTTGACAGTTCGGTATCCTTAAAAGCTTTTCTTGAGTATTTGGTGAAGAGAGTTATAAAAGGGTTTTGCGAGTTTTCAAAATGGTAAATCTCAACTTAGAGAGAATTGAGATTGTGCTTTTAGTTGGTGATAATGTTCAATCAACGAGGGTGGTAGCAGAAGAATTCAACAGAAGACATCCAGATCGTCAACCAATTCACTATACAACCATCTCCAGGTTCAATACGTTATTCAATAGAACGGGGAAAGTAAATAAAACACATGTACCAAGACAAAGAGGGAATATAGAGATAGACGGACAAATTTCAGAGTATGTTCAAGAAAACCTAAAAAATAGCTTGCAACAGACTTCACGAGATTTACACGTTAGTATATCTAAAATACATACATGTTTGAAAAAGAATAAAGTTATTTGCTTCGAACCAAAAATCATGCATACATTAGAAATATGTGATGAGGAACGAAGGTTGGAATTCTGTTTATGCTGCCAAGGTGAATATTTGATGAGGCAGCATTTACCACTAACGATACAGTATCCACTCAGAATTCCAGGTACTGGGCAAGGGAAAATCCACACTGAATGATGAATTCAGAAAGACAATACTCCCAAAAATCAATGTCTGGGTAGGAATATTCAAAAACCGTATAATAGGTCCAGTGTTTTTTGAAAACACACTAAACGGTACAGAATTTTATAATTTTTTGACAATGAAATTCTTGGATTTCATGGAAGAACTAAGCATTGAAGAACGCAGAGATATTATATTTCAGCTAGATGGTGCCTCCATTCAGAATGTGATTACTGTGCGGCAATATCTTGATGACAAATTCGGAAGATGGATTGGAAGGACCAGCCCATTTATTTGTTGGCCCTTCGATCACCAGACCTGACTCCATTAGAGTTTTTCTAGGGGGATATTTGAAAGAAAGTGTTTATAGAAATAGACCATGAAATTTGAACGAATTGAAGGAGAAGATAAGGCAAAAGTGTGGTAAAATAACACCAGGCCCATTGAGGTGGATCCGCCAGAATTTGAGACGACGTTATTAAAAATGTATAGAGCTTGTAGGAGGATACTGTTCCATTTATTATGAGGTGTATTCATTATAATTTTAATTTCACTTACCAATAATCATCTATCACATATTTGTTACATTAGAAATTATTGGAAGCAACTACCAGTAAAAAAAGTTTCCTTGAAAAAAAAGAATAATTCATGTTACAACATTGGCATTTTTTGTAGCAAAGAATGTTATGTGAAAGCCATTTCTTATATGATTGATGAGGGATGTGGTACTTCGTTTTTCCATCTAACAGTATCATGTTACTCCATCTGTGCATTCAAACTTCCAACTAAGAACCTCATTTTCATAATCGGTGAGTTGAGCAACATATTTCATAAATGTTAAATAAATCGGCATTTGGAAATGCTAAACCGAAATTCACAAGTTCTCAATAGATATTTGTTAATTTAATTTCTAGTCTAGTTAGATTTATAATCGGGCACTTTTACTCTCTATTATTTTTGGAGGGTGTAAGATTACAACAGAAACAACTTATTGAAACAAAAATTAAATGTTAATATAGTAGTAGGAATTTCAATTACTTACGTTTCAACAGTTCCTATCCTACTCAAACACACGGTATGAAATCACAAAATTTGACCAAACCGATTGCAAACTTTCAAAAAATACTTTGGTTCGATAATTCCCTTATCATTTCCAGGACTTAAAATAACACCGTTGACTGACAAGTAAAATAAAATGTTGTCAGATATAGCCAACTTCAGATTTATGTATATAAATATTTCTGCATCACTCCTTATACCACTAACAATATTCCTGTCTCCTGGAAGACCCTTGGAAAAATGTATGTGATTCCTTTTCATGCGGCTAATGCCTTCATTCTTGATATTATCCCAATTTTTAAAATAGGTTCCATGAATTAGCTGAATATCTTCTGTTCCCAAAATTGGAGACAACTCTAGATTTGTCACAACCTAAAAAATGTTACGATATCTGAAATGCCTTCAGAATACATTTCTGACATTTCTAATGCATGATTATGTAGAATTAACAGAAAATGAATTTACTGAAAACACTTTTTTTACACCACAAGAAAATAAGGTTTAAATTGAAAGGGGTTGGCTTCCTATAATACTTCTCTATCTTTATACAAAAAAATGTGGGAATATTGGAAAGAAAGGGAGAAAGCAATTAATTTCACAATGAACTATATCCAAAGATGTGTAATTAATGCAAAGGAGTAACTTTCAGACACAAACTGGAAAAAACCGTCTTGAAACAACTACTTTCACATAACACTCACATTTATTGTGTGTCCTTGATTAGCACATATTTGTATATCCTTCTCATAACGAAGACTAAACCTGTGCTTATTATCAACTTCAACTACTCTCTTTATATCCTCTAGAGAAAACTTGTCTCTTATTGTTTTATGATTGAGCAAGTCCTCTATATTCATATAGCCGTCTGTGCGGATAGGTAGTCCTTCTTTCACAGCTCCATGTCGAAGAAGCCAGGACAAAAGTTTACTCAAATGTATATCTCTACTAGCCTACAAGATGTCATAGATTTAGTAATAGGTAGATAGTATGAACACATAATGGATCTAATCTATGATTTAATAATATGGATCTGATCTAACTATAATTAAATAAGTTGCTATTATATGAATTATATTTCAGAGTAATAAACAAACTATTTCACAAATGGAATCAACTTTATAATTACTACAACGTACCATCAAATACACGAAAGGATTAAAATTTGGAGATATAAATACCTACTGAATTATTAATAACTGCAAAGTTGGTAGGTTAATCAAATTACACTTTTAAATCCAAAGAACTTTTACCAATTCACATGTTAAACAAAAATAACATATAACATCACAAATTTTTTCTTCTGTGATCTTCTTCTTCTTCTCTTTTTTTATGGCCTTTGGTTCCCTTCGGTGAAGTAGACCAGTCTCTTCCTATTGCATAACGGATGTTATCCGGGGACGTGTGTGTCTTGCTTAACGCAGACTACATCTTTATGTTGTCGATAGACACTAAGTCCACGTGAATTGGGGTTTTGTAGCGTGATTGGAACTTTTGTCTTGAGTATCTGCGTTCTATCTTCACTTGCTGGTAGGTATTAACCGGATAAAGAATACATACAGAGGTTGTGATATTAGGATTGAAACTAATAAAATTGGGATAAGGAATGGATATGGGCGTACCTCCCCACCGCTATTATAATCTAATATGGGTATACTCCATGAATTTGCAAATAATTTTCAAAATGCTAACATTTAAAATTCCCAGGACTGTAAACATGTTCAGAGGAGCTGTTATTCCTTTCTGTATGAATTTATGAATTGATGCCGTAAGTATGATTTGTAATGTTATTCAATGGCGAAAATATTCACAACTCATTAAATAATAGGCCCTGAAGAAGCTTCCCATTAGAAGCGAAAGCTTGGCAAAGTAAAGCAGAGTTTGATTTTTTGA